TCCAATTAAGCTGAGGCTGTAGTCGAAATCACATGGCACTGATCGATTGAAAACTAGCTGAGACACATGCGAAAGGAAGTACCAGCATTGAGTGGTGGTTAACGCGTTAGTCTCTGGCAAGGGTAATAGCGTGATCATTCCCCACTGCAAATACCTGTGATCCGGAGTCTTGAAAATATCTCAGTATCATTGTGGTTGCATCAATAATAAAGTTAAGTAAAAACTGACTCGCAAATAAACATCAAAGTTGAAATAACGTGGGTCACATTTTTTCACTAGTTAAGTGTTGTATCTAAATTAGTTGCTTCAACAACCTTTGCAACAAGAAACGGGATTTGAAGAACATTAAAGCAGATATATTCGGTAAATGCTTGTTTTTTTAGAGTGGAAGCATTCGTTCGTTTAATGCTCGTCGGAGCATGGGTCTCTTCCCGGTGTTTCATCCCTTGTGTTGTGCGTCGGTTAGGGTTATCGATTTGTGGGACGAATTTAGCACAGTGCTTAGATCCTCCTTGAAATCCACATGTGCTCACTGATTCTACACTGCGTCCTGAGCCAGTCAAACCCTCCATCCGACAGGGGTCGATAAATTGTACCAGACTTGTTTAGAAAGAAAATGACACTGACTCGATAGATTGACAGGCCATCCGATAATGGAGGAAATTGGCCCCACACAAGTCTATTACCAATTTCCTGACCCGCGAAGGAATGTGGGGCCTGAAGGCTAGGACTGAGGTAGACTCTCGTTCGTAATGAGCGAGAGTCAATACCACTGCATCGTTCACCATCTCATTCTCAGGGCAAACATGCATTAAAGCACGCCATCGGTGCTTATTAGAGTCGAATTTATGGCGCGTGTCTAAGGGGTTGATCAAAATGAATCGCTTTATCCTTTATAGATTTGTGGGAAGAACTTAGTATTGCTATAGCTGTTTCAGGAATCGGATTCAGAGCACAAGAAAAAGGAAGAGGTGAGAGATGAAGTCCAATCGACTTGAATCGATCTACAAGCTCTTCTATGATCATTTCATATCTACTACATGTCCCTCTTCCTATATTTCTTAATGCTGTTTACTTTGTATGATGCTAGCCCTTTTTTCTTTTTTAAGCTAATCTACTTTTCTTCAGTTCAGAATGCTGTTGTGTAATCTTGTTCTCAGTAAAAAAAATCGTCAGTATCTTCTCTAATAAATCAATCAGTGTTTTTTCGAAAATATGAAGTTGTACACAGATCTGTACACTTTTATAATAAAGCAATTCGGAAATGGAAAAGAAAAAAAACGAGAGGAAGTTCATTGTTTCTAGAAATGTCTCGCCATTTCTTAGAAAGGTCGATAAATGTGTAAAGGTGATCTCTGATGAGTTACAACCTCTTCACGCCGTCTACTGAGAACGGGAGCTCAGCTATTTAACGTAATCTTCAGGTAACACCTCGCGTTTGCTCAACAAGAATATAAAGAATTATTTGATCAATGCCGAGGCTAATAGAAAGTCGGTCATGGGAATTAATCTTCAGATAGTTAGACAGAATGGAACAATGTACGCGATTCAGCTAGAAAGTAAAATTTTCTGTCATTTTTCGATCTGGCTGGAATTTGGAAAACAGTTGGAATTTGTGTGAAAAGTGGAAATGTTTTCGTGAAGAATTCCGCCACTTCGCTAAAATCCCTTAATCTAGCAACCGAGCTGATGAGCTCTATATATGGAATGGTACAGTGAAGTATGTCATCCCACCATGGATCTAGAATTTCCTCACAGAGGCGTTTCTTATCCGTTACTCGCAAATTGACGTGGCGGGCCCATAGGTGGCGGATAGGGGGTTAATAGCGGACAAAAAGCAAAGTTATGGCTACCTGAGAAGCAGGTGAATCCAGAGGATAAACTCCGCTGCTCCGATTTTGCAAATGCCTTCTGTACTTGTATTTTGTATTTATGAGTATGATGTATTCAAGCATGCATAAGTGGGTACGTTTTCGTTTATGCTGGCCAAAACTATGAGATTAAGTGAATGGGAAGTGCCTGGTAGGTGGTTAGAGGAGCAACATCCAAAAAATAAAATGAGCTCTCTATTTACTCTTCGAGGCAGCTCGCAAGCTACCCGTGTGACTACCCAATTTTTCACATTCAAAGTTCAGGAAGCTATGTGTTGGGAACAACGCGCTAAGCACAATAAAATAAACGACCCGTATTCTCCTGACCCCGGAGCCCCAGATTCGGCAGCGTTGCGAAGGGCGAGTACGGAGAGCTTGCTAAAAGTTGAGGGTAATTCAAGCCTTATCAAATTCAAATCTGCCTAAATCGAATAGGACTAAGGTGACGATCTGCACCTACGATGCACGCTCACTTTCACCTGTGTTCTCGATAAAGGATTTGTTCGCAAAGACAAGAATGATAAGGTACGACGTCATCGGCCTGGCCGAGACGAGACGACGCCACCCATTCAACGCCGTCTATGACACCGGAAAGGAACTGTTCCGCGGAACATACAATAGTATAAGAGCCAGAAGCGTTGATGTTCTCGCCAACCCAAGTTTGGCCATGAACATCGATTCATTCGAAAAATTAATAACCTGAATCTGATATTTACACTTGAGGATATGTGGATCAATGCCGGCTTTGACAATCTTAGCCGCCTATGTACCGACATCAAGCTGTGATGAAGACGAAGCCGAAACGTTCGACAAGAACTTACATAAGTTCTACAGATGAGACCATACATTTTTGAAGGTCATCATTGAAGAGTTTAACGATAAGATTGAGCTCCGAAGAACATTTGAAGAATGTCACATTGGAACCCACGGATTAGAATGGAACGAGAAGGGTTAACGGCTGTCTGAGTTTATCACGACTACTAAGACCATTCATTGTAACTCGCCATTCCAGAAGCCTCATTCCCAGCTCTCGACAGGGGAGTATCCCAATCGAAAGTGCCATAACGAAGTAGACAACATCACAGTAAATCGAAGAACTTGCCCGATTGATGACACTGTTGTCCTAAAATTCTACGGAATTTGACCATCGTCTCCTTCGTGAAAGATTTCATTTCTCGCTGAAAGGAGAAAAAGCCACTAAATTCAGGAAACGAAGTTCTAAAGCCAACCTAGGCTGAGAATTATTAAGTTCCTTAGTCGACTGTTGGGAAAACGCCATTCTTGATAACATGGACGAAAAATATGATCTACATTCAACACCTTCATTTTGGCGCTATGAAAGCTGTAAGTTTCAAACTCGGTAAAAGACGTTTGCCTCCAGAAATACTCGAGCTGATATGCCATTGTGGAATCGCGAGAGCTAGATACAACCGCCAATTTATATCCGAACTTGCGAAACAGTATAGAAACGGAATAAAACAAGCTCTTAGAAAGGGAAAAACATCACTTACGGCCGAAGCTTCAGAGGCTGGAAAGAGCAGTGGAAAAACTCATCGAAACCTCGCCATTCACAAAACCAAGATGATTGCGCTTCGACACCCAAACGGAAAGGTTACAACTTCCAGAAAGGCGAAGGAGAAATCCATTCACGAATATTGAACGAATGCTAGCTGATTTTAATAAGGCTTGTGGAAAGATTGATGTTCGACTAAATCTCGCAAAACGATTTTCGTAAGGAACGGATTCGTTTCGTATGATCCATTCGCGCTCAACGGGATAAACACCTCTAAATTCTCCAGCTGTTCAAGTTATGGAGTCAACATGTTGTACAACTTAGCTTCAGAGTTGTGGAGGAGGAAATAAGCAGCTTGGGGAGCTTTCAAGGGCTTCAAGGATGTACTGAAGAGAAAAAACCACGCTACACCCGTGCCCACCCTTTGACTCCATGACTTTTCCTCCCTTAACGCATGCATACAAGACATAGCTACTTGACCTGGTTAAACCGGCAGTCGAAGGAGAGATGTTAGGAGCATATCGTTTTGCCCAACTGAGTAGAATATCCTAACCTCCAACATACGTTAACGATCAAAAAGCAATGACACTGTTCTACACGTCAAATAGTTGAGGAAGAGATGGGCAGGACATATAATCCTGCGAATAGAGAGGGCCCCTTGAGAAAACTCTAGAAGAATGGTTCTTAACGAAGTCTCGAAGAGAACAGAGCCTATGGGCTACACTTCCAGGTGACAGGAAGAAATGGAAGGTTTACTAGTGCCCACTCCACTCGACGATCAGGGGGACGACATGTGTTACAGGTTACGTCGCCCTAGTGGATATTACAGATTGTCGAAATTACCATATTCTTTTTCAATAGAAAAGAAATTAGCCGTTAGAGAAATCATAGTGAGTGCCTCGGGTCTTTTGAATCCTTATCCCAATAACCGGTATTCATTAAGGCCTCATAATGGTCGCCGTGAAGCCATTTCCACATTTAATAGGATATTTCTACTGGAAGAGAAAAATCGCAGATTTCGTGGTCTTTGAAGACGTCAAGTGAACAAGAAAATTCTGTAAATCTTGGGCAGTAAAGGAAAAAGATCCGTGGAACACCGAGTGGGTGGGTGATTCGACAGATAGATTTCCACAGAGCATTGAATGATTGCCATTTGCATTTTTAAAAACACTGGTTTTACAACCACAATAGTGCTGAGATGTCTGCAAAACTCCGGACCGTAAGTGTCTGCGGTAGGAGACGAAAGCGCTATTGTCCTTTCCGGGGAGTAACGCGTTCACCACTACACCATGCGGGTTCTTCGTTGCGCCTGTCTCTCAGCTCGCTATCACTAAATTTTTCGTCGTGAACATTTAAGGTTTTTAAGAGTTTTTTAGATAAAGTATGATATTTTGTTTTTTTCCCTTCCACTTCATTCTGTTTGACATCGACTTTTGAGAATTCCTACGAAAATATTTCTATGAGTTGATCCCGGATTTTCTTCGATTTGACTTGTACATTTTAGTGCGGTGAGACTTCATGACAGCATTTTTCGAGTTGTCTTATTGGCAGAAACATGGTGACTGTATATTTTTAGAACTCGATCCTTGTTGCAAACGATGTCATAACTAGGGTTTTCATTTCTTTTTCTTATCGGCGCCAAACACCTCGTTGCCTCCAATGCCCGCCAGTGTTTGATAATTCGGATCAAAGGTTCCTGCTTTCGCTTGCTGCAAATGAACCTCATAAATTTTCTAACAAGGTTTTTTTAGATAGCATATCTAATTTCTACACACCTGATTAGCAGGAGCTTTAGGAGCCTCAGGTCCTTTTGCTTTTTTATCCGCGCCAAACACATCACCTCCAACTCCAGCCAGCGTTTGATAATTGGGGTCGAACGTGCCAGCTTTCGCAGCCTAAGTCAACCACACCTTTTTACATAATTACAAACTGCTCCAAAAACCAGACTATCTTTTCTATGGTGTTTGAGTTATAGTAGAAGTGCTGAAAATTGCTGTCGTGTCCACGATTTCTTGATAGCGAAAATGGCATGCCGTTCAAGTGACCAGGCGCCCTCAGCGGTTTTATTTGTTCGTTTTTTGAAAAATGAGCCAATGGTAGTGGTATACTAAAATATTCCAGTGGTACTGAGTAACTATGGCCTATTGAGATTCTTCAGGAAATCTCAGCAGTTGAAGCTATGAACAAATAGCTGCAGAGCATGAATCTTTGCCTTTTTAGGAAATAGTTTTTCAAGGAGAATACACTAGATCTTCGAACCTATTGAATTCATGTCAGAAACGGCAAATCGATTATTATATATGAACACCTATAAACGTTGGGAACGCCTCAGGCCGGCTACCTCCAACATGGCAAGGAGAATTAACTCGACCAAACAATACGAGAAATATTCGAAGGCCATTGTGGATGACGAATACGAGGAAAACGAATCGAGTGTAAGAGCTGCTGGGTCACGCTCAGTAAGTGTGATGATTGCCTGTGTAAAATAACAAAAAATGGTAAAATGTAGTTTTAGAGCCGGCGGCACCCAAGATTTCTCGGAACAATAAAAGCTATGTTATGCCTTTTTTCATGGAAGGATTCTTTTTTATTTGGAACCAATTGTACGGGCACTAATTTTTGAAAACACCTTACTTGGTTGGCCGGCGCTTGTGGTTTCTTGTCTCCTCCACCACCACCGCCATTCTTCTTGTCGGCTCCAAACACATCTCCTCCGATTCCAGCCAACGTCTGATAATTCGGATCGTGCGTAGCGGCCTTTGCTCCCTAAATCGTAAAAGCCACCGAATGAGAATTTTGCCTTATGCAGCTTAAGCACTTCGGATCGTGAGTCTCTGCTATGCTTGCTAAAACATTACTTCATGATGTGACAAAAAACGATTTAAGGATACCAAAAGCTCCATTGTATTTTAAATCATAAAAAAGGCTTAAAATTGGATTTCTCCTTAGGAGTTGCTACTGGACGCTAACTAGAATTTAACCGAGCGTGTCACATGTCAGCAAAGGTAACAGTGGTATCACATGAATATTGAAGATGTAGTTTGCCACAACTTGCTGCTCTTCATAAAGAAAAGGGTAAGGCGCTAGGTGTTGATCTATCCCTGACGGATGCGCCATGAATTCGATTTCATTAAACATCATTCGGAGGTGATCGAATGCATATCTGGCCTTTACAATGACCCGCGGTGGCCTAATGATCTTTAGAGCCAACGTTGCTATCCTCCCAGACAAATCTCGTACCAATTTGCCAAATTCGAAAAGATGGAAGCCATGGTGGGCCACGGGCGCGGAGAACGATTCCACGTGTGTCGCAGTGGCGCCTCCGACCACTGCACCACACGCACCCGTCGCCCTTCATAGCGAAATGTATTTCAGATTCGTTTTTAAGACAAGAGTACTCTAAAGTGAATGCCAGGTATACCGAATTGATAAAAATCAACAAAATACGCCTTTAAAAATTATAGACGCATAACCAGCAATCACAACAAGACTTCCCTCATAATTGGTATTGCAATAGGGAACTCTTTCCTAATTTCGTCACTGGAATTTCAATAAATCTTAATGCGGACCTGGTTAACCGGTGCTTGCGGTTTCTTGTCGCCTCCACCTCCACCAGCAGCCTTCTTATCGGCTCCGAACACATCGCCTCCGATTCCCGCCAACGTCTGGTAGTTTGGATCGTGCGTAGCGGCCTTTGCTCCCTAAATCATAAAAGTAACCGAATGAGAATTTCGCTTATGCAGTTACTTAGCGAAGCGGAGTCATTCCAATGCTGCTATTTATTTTGCTTGCTTTAGTATTACAATTGTGTTATTTTCTTTGCCTCCCAACGGTTGACCGCCTCATCTAGGCTGGGAGGTGTTCCTGGCTATCGGGCTGTGATGTACAGTGGGGTTCATCCCTTGATGGAGTCTCCCAAACTGAGAAGTAGTTCGGCATTTCCATCATAAAGCTTAGCTACGAGTAAACCTATATTAGGATCCGTCACCGTCCTGGTACCAAACTAGTCGCAAGGTAGCAAATCTCACTCTTATTCAAAAGGGCAGCGACTGCACGTAGTGGTGACGACCTCGGTCAGACTTTGGCATGGCTGAACTCGAGACTCCAGGAAACTACAATGGCTAAACCAGCAAAGCTCTGCAAAAATCGGGAACATGCTAGAGCCCGCACAGTTAGTGAGGACGGGCCATCCAAGTATTCAGGTAAATCAGTAGCTATTGCCACTGGAGAAGAATAACTGCACTTGCTTACGTGAAAAGTCGCCTAGGAGTGCGACAGTGACACAATTTAGTCCAGCATTTTTCAAAAACTTACCGTTTCTGTTATGGGGGAACAGGTACAAATGCACTTAAATTAAAAAATAATTAAAATAAAAAATAAATAAACAAAAAATATTAAAATCTGCTTAACCTATAAAGATGTTTCGCTGAATTTGTCTTAAGTTTTCAAAGGATCTCTCACAGTGAGAATCTACAAATCGTGATTGAATATGGTTAAATATACACAGAATGCTTAAGTCAATACTGTGCCGCAAAAATACGAGCTGTACTGCACAAATCCACCTCTTCGTAACTAAACAGTCAGTCTACAGCTGCACACTTGATAACTGTTAGTTAAGGATGAGCGTAATAGCTAGACATCTCAAAATTTTAAGATTGACAAACAAATATGGACATGCAGACAATCAGAAATGCAGGCAAACTAATTGAGGTTTTAGTCAAATCAAAGAGACCTATGGATAACTTGGCATGACAAAAACACAAAATGCGAAAGTACTTTTTCTCTTTTCAGGTTTAATTTAGTGATTAGAATGTACTGCATCTTCGCAAAACCAATTCAATCGTTGGAATTTTAGCATTTTGATAATCCGAACCTGGACAGCAGGCGCTTGTGGTTTTTTGTCTCCTCCACCACCACCACCAGCCTCTTTTTTGTCTGCTCCGAAGACGTCGCCACCAATACCGGCCAGTGTTTGATAGTTGGGATCGTGAGTGCCTATGAGACGTATATAAAACATTTTGGGAATAAATTTCTCTCTTAACGCGGCCTAATAACGGCATCTTACCTGCCACGCCACCAGCACCTGGTTTTGGGCCTGCTGGGGCTGCTGGCTTGTCCTCTGCTTTTTTCTTGTCTGCGCCAAAAACGTCTCCACCAATACCAGCCAATGTCTGATAGTTGGGATCGTGAGTGCCTATGAGACGTATATGAAACACTGAGAATAAATTTCTCTCTTAACGCGGCCTAATAACGGCATCTTACCTGCCACGCCACCAGCACCTGGTTTTGGGCCTGCTGGGGCTGCTGGCTTGTCCTCTGCTTTTTTCTTGTCTGCGCCAAAAACGTCTCCACCAATACCAGCCAATGTCTGATAGTTGGGATCGTGAGTGCCTATGAGACGTATATGAAACATTTTGGGAATAAATTTCTCTCTTAACGCGGCCTAATAACGGCATCTTACCTGCCACACCACCAGCACCTGGTTTTGGGCCTGCTGGGGCTGCTGGTTTGTCCTCTCCTTTTTTCTTGTCTGCTCCAAAAACTTCTCCACCAATGCCAGCAAGCGTTTGATAGTTAGGATCATGGGTGCCTTAAATAAAGAAAAGCGTTCTTCTACTGTGTTAAAAACTATCCTAAAATATTGCAGATGAAGTTGTTAATTAGATATATGAAAAATTCGAGGAGTTCCTGTGGCAACTAAAAATTGAACAGATGGGTGTTATCATATTTACTTCCCAACGGTTTACCGCCTCTTCGTGGCTGGGTGGTGTTTTTGGGTGCCGGGCTGTGATGTACAGCGGAGATTCATCCTTCTTTCAGCGCCTCCCAAGCTGAGGAGTCCGGCGTTTCCGAAAGGAATGGACAAAAGTGAACCACTACTAGGGTCTATCACCGTCCTGGTATCAAATTAGTCGCATGGTGGCAAATCCTCCTCTGATCCGCAAGGGCTGTCATTGCCTGTGGTGGTGACGACCTGGGGCAGACTTTGACCAGGTTGACCTCGGAATTTCAAGCAACCACAATGGCTAAACCAGCAGATCTCCGAAAAAATGGAGATTATGCTGGGGTCCGCGCAGGCAGTGAAGACGGGCCATCCAAGTGTCCGAGTAAGTATCATATCTGCATCGCTCGTTTGCGCAGTTCGTTATTTTCCATCTTTTTCGGAAATTCAAGGCACGTTGCCTTACAGCAGCGAACAATTCATCATCTCCGTTCCTGCTTTTTTAAATCACCATGTTTCATGTGATCAATAAACATCAACTTGACGACGACTTATATACCGCAGTGTGGATTCATCACGACGTTCAGCACCATCCACAACAACGTATTCTTCCAAATGCACTTTTCTTGTCGGTCACGACGAAAGTAAGGATCGCTTTTGGGGCCAGCACAGATCAATCTTTATCAATTACTTCTTAACGTCGCTCGATGTAGCCCTTAGCAGAAAATTCTACTCAAACCCGAACAATCACCTCACTAGCTCAAGGTTTTTTTTCGTCTACAAGGTGGGAAAGAACAAAATTTATAACCGAAGTACATAATTTTTCAACTGCTAGGACTTTTCCGTTGACGACACCGTTATCGATAACGCCGAAAGGTAACGCGATTGAGTCATTGAAACGATCAGTTCAACTCGTTTATCTTTCAAGATGAATGCACTTAATAACTGAACTTTAATGTCACCTAGAGAGCCTCACTCAGGAAACCCGAACTGATAAGGCACAGGGTAGGGTAGGCTACGGATGACTAAATATACACGTGCGTTTCGGCTTGCAAAGTAGTTCAGAACCACTTTAACACAATACGTTAACGAGAGAAGAGCAACGCTATTGGGTAAAGGTACCTAAGACTGGTAAGACCATCTGCAACAATCAACGGGCGACTATATATATATATATATATATATATATATATATATATGGATGTGGATGTAGGTGTAAGTGGTTCGAATGCGCGACTATACATATATATGTATCGATGTATTTATCATTCTCTACTTGTTTTCGTCGTTTGCTGTGGTTTAACAGCGGATTCTTCTCACCTATGGAACACAAAAAAAATTTTTTTCAGGTAGTTTTCGTAAAAGCTCGTAGATCGATCCTCTTCAACACGCGTTTCATGCCTTTCTTCTGTCATGACTAGGATACGATGTGAAATACAACATCAAAAATGTTAAGATAATACCAATTTGTGCTCTCCAGATCATTATCGTCGCCAAGTGACTGCAGATAGAATAGAGAGTAAAAACTGGCCGAGAGCAAGGGTCACAGTTGGTGCGGTAGATAGCAACTGAGCGCCCGGTAGAGGTAATCCCGTGCTCGGATAATAGCTAGGGTACCGAGTTTCCCTCATGTCCCAGTATACGTTTCCTTCGTAGCTGTCTTTTTCCTGTTTACTTGACATCTCGTGCGAGCCAGTCGCCAACGATTCACATCTACTAGTTCTTCTTAAATACATTACATGTTCACTGGAGCTGATTTTCCAAATTTTGGCGTGAGCAGCAGCGCCTCCTATCCTCATCTTCCGATTTACACAGGAATTTCGGATTCTCTATCTCATTTCGGTATCACAGGATACTCCTAGCACAGCAGTTTCGATCGTTAATGTCACAACGTTGATGGCGCTTTCCTCTTTTTATACAAAGGTTTTTAAGGTCATTTGGAAAGTGAGCGAAGAGCCGAGTTGTAAAACAAAGTATTTCGTCAAGTTAGCTTTATAACTTAAATGGGCGCAGTCATAATACCTGGGCAAATTCGGCTTATTGATAGCGAATGGGCAAACAAGTGATATAATTTGAATACAATAACCCAAGAAAGCAAAATCTAAACAAACCTAACAGGTACGTTTGACAGGAAGTTGCAAAATTATAGGTTTAATGACAGACCAGCGACGCCTCCTACATCAGGTGCCTTAGGCTTCTCAGGAGCAGGTTTCTTGTCTTTTTCGAAAACATCACCTCCTACGCCGGCCAATGTTTGGTAGTTCGGATCATGAGTACCTGCAAAGCATAACTCTGAAGAGTGAAGCAGTTACATTTGAAAATGAAATGCAAAAGTGTATTTTTACACGCATGTATAGTTAAGTGTCCTCTACGAGTAACCGAAGATATAAACTATTGGTATCCAAGATTTGGTGAACCGAGACAACTTCAGAAAGTTAGAGTCGAGAGTCGTTCGTCGAGAATAGTGATAGTGCCGTACCAGCAATTCCTCCCACAGCCGGAGCCTTGGGTGCTGGAGGTGGTGGTGCTGCTGGCGATGGTTCAGCCGGTGCAGCCGGTGGCGGTTGTCCTCCTTCAGCTGGTTCATCTGATTGTTTTTCCTCTCCTTCAGCTTTTGCTCCCTTCTTCAAGAGTAATATCACTAATTATCATTATCTATTTTTTAATATTACATACGTTTTTATAATTGCAAGAATAGAGATCGGTTGAAGAAGAAATTAGTTGTTAACAAGTGATTAACATCGAAGTCATACTGATCATTCATACCTTCATATATCTTGCTGTAAACAAGGAAGCTCTTTCGTAACGACCGAAATAGTAGTGGCACCAGGACTGGCTGGGTGCATAAGCCCTTTGTAGTTTACATGTCATTTTAGTTCTCACTTCTGCTCTTACATTTCCCGCCCTTTTAAGTAAAACTGCAACTAAAACGAGAACTACAAACAGTTTGCCATCAGCAGTGTTTGGAATGACCGATATGATGAAGGAATTCGGAAAAATCTGTACCCGAGTTAACAAAATTTGCATTTCTCGATAACCTGGAACACTTCACCCAGGTAGAAACCGCCTGTTCGGATCCCACGAGGAAGCTCAGTAAAATATTGAGAAACACTTAAATGTGAAAACAGTCCAGAACCTACTTTTTTTTTAACCGATTTTTTCGATTTTGAGCTTTTTTTACTCTTGCCTTTTTTCACTTCTCCTTCTTCACCTTCTGAATGGAAAAAAATATGTTCATGAAGAAATATTTTAATCAATAAGAAAAACGACTGATCATTGAAGAAGCAGATGTTTTCTTTACGAAAGTTGTAAGCGTTGTTCGATCACATAGAGTTGTTATTTAAGAACAAAGAATGCAGTCGACAAACCTTCATCCTGGAATACAACGTGCTTGCCGTAAGGTTGTTTTCTTGCCAAAACACGAATAAATGAGGAAAATTTGGTAAGTAGCGTAAGATGGAAGTAAAAGAGAACCTTTTTTCCTGTGCATTGTATGACTTGGATATAGAAAGTAGCGAGTAATATCAGCAATCTCAGCAATAATGTCAGCATTAACGGTTTCCGTATGCTGTAAGGGCTCACTACAGGCCCTACCTAGAACAATGAGCCTCACCAATGCACTTCTACTCAAAATGACATCTACGTCAACACTTGGATGATCTATGTTATCCGATATCTTCCGTGTCAGTAATCACATACCAAGGGCTCCATTTTCACTAAGAAGTGATGTAACGGTCGGTTTACTCTTCAACCTCAGTTGAACTGAGGATGAATCGTCCATCACATCACTCTTGTGGAGAAATTGTAAGGAGCGCCGAAGCCTTAGAAGATGCAAACTTCCTCTAAGAAAGCCATCTACATAATAGACTGCAAGCCACTTAGTTCATATAGCGGTAGTTGGAAGAGAAGAGTGGATGAGAGGAAGAAAACCAAAAGTAAATACGTTGTGGTGCTGCCCGTGCACTTTGCGAACATAAGATATTCAAGTATCAAGATTTTACCATCGAATTTCCTTCGTCCATTACCATGTGGGACAAGTAAACATGGATCTTCACTGAGTAATAGACTTACTAGGAAGTGTAAATGATGTAAGCAATTTTTGTCGATCAGCGAAGAGATTTCAAAAGTGTGCCTTTCCTCTGGCTTCCATATCCAGTGAAGGAAGACAGATGTACCGATTTGACTGTTTTTCACATCAATGTCCAGCATGCTATTTGGTCGATGGGAAAATACAACCCCTAATCGAAATAGGTGGGGTGTTGAAAATTTGGCTAACCTGGTTCTAGCCACCCTCAAAATTAGCGCAGCATACGTGAAATGGTTAGCTAGCCATGCCATTAATTGTGCTCTGGTGAGAGTTCATTAGTAAACACAGTTAGTTTTCAGTAGCTAATATAACTTACTAAAGTACCGAAGAAATAAAAAAGTGCCATCTCCTTGTAATTTCATCGGCAAACTTTTAACTAATTTGAAAAAGATTTGATCACCAAAGCTTACGAGGACAATGCAATCTTTGCTCACTAAACAATGATTCTAGTGCGTTACGATAGTATTGTAACAAGGAAGTCTATCGAAATCTTTATGAGCGCAAGAGTTCACCACCTCGGAAATTACGTGGAAGGTACAGAAATCACTCTGCTCTCCATCTCTCGACGATTCTTTACTCCATAACAACGGTGTTAAAATTGGAGAACCTCGTTATCAAAGTGAAAGAGTGCTTAGCATTGTCGAACACGCTGTCGAAGCAGTGAGGCTAGGCGTATCCCGTATAACACCACTAAGAGAACTTGTATGCTTAGGCTATACACACCAAAACCTCGGCCGGAGATCATAAATCGGTTATGCAGCATGGGAATTCAAGTGGTCAGGTCCAGTGAATGTAAGATACATCACATCATTTCACGGATGAAGCTCGTCATATTCACTTTCTATTTCTACTATTAAGAAACTATATTGTTGTGACTAACATCGTTAGAGACGTCGTGCTATACAAGCACAATCTCTGGTTCGACCGGTCTTGAGACAACCATCGCTCCTCGTTCGGGAAATTCGCTCCAAACTTGTTCTGGAAAACTCAAACGATCCGTAATGGCCAACTACTGCAAGTGATAAAAGATCTATGGACGTATTGGCAGACCTATATGAAGGTTCCTACTTACCTGAATAGTTGGATTACTTGTCTTCAGAAGTAGTGCGGACAGCAGCACAATTTTTACTTGTTTCTCTCTCACAGAAACGTCGGCCATAGTGGTGGATCGATTCCAGTATGAGGTCATTTGCAAGTCTCATATGGCGACCTGTAAGACGTAGCAGTTGCGAGTAGAGCTGAATGATTTTAGTTATAAGCACCTCCGCCCATCGCGTAGGTGGTCCTCCCACAGGACATTTGTAGCTACATGGAGTCTACCCTGCATTTCTTTTCGTCCATACCATACGCTGTCTGTTCTTCTCACTATATGAACGGTTCATTTATGTTTCGAAATCCACGTGTATTCACCTGTATCACTAAGATAAGATAAGTTTCGAAGATCTCAGCTGAGTTTTCCGACTGTGTGCTGTGAGGGCTGGTTGGATTTTAGAATATTCAGATCATTCAAGCGCTCTGTCAATAGAGCACGGAGTTGTTTAAAGTACCAGTTAACGTCTCTACTGCATAAAAGAGCGCTGCGAGCACTGTTAAGTTGGAGAGTTGATAGCAGAGTTTCTGGCTCATTATTTGCCCTGTGTCTTCTCTGAAAGGCCTGAATGCGGCTAATCCTGCTTTCCTTCTATTTAATTCCTCCATGTTGTTTTCCATGCCCATTGAGGGTCCAAGACATTAACAGCTCTGTTAGGTATGTTGTAGTGGGTTGAGCTTCGGCCTTCTTTTCTTCTCGAGCAATTTCTTAGTAATAATGGAGATGTGGTCTCAAATTCTTGTCTGAAGAACTGGGACGAATTGTGCACAAGTTTTAAGTCTTTCGACGAATGGGTAGCGCGTATTCGTCAGTGGGATATTCATTTCTCTGCCAGTTATATGAAAGAGGATTTTCCTGAGAATGTTCTGGTCACAAACGACTTGTTTTACTTTTCTTGTACGATAACAGGAGTTTTTTTCAGCTTACGGCTGAGACAGTTCCTCGCATAGAGAAGGCTATTATCAGATCCAGTACTGAATACATGCACCACTGAGGCGCTGTCAAAGAGGCATCATTTTCTGTTCACGAGAATATGTGTGATCAATCCCTGCAGGAACCGTGTCCTTAAGATATCCGGTGTTCATCGGCGATTTTATCTGTTCTAGAAAAATGAATTCTCATAAAAGGACATCCCGTGGACTGGAGTCTTACAAGATGGTTTCCATTCATATTTTGCTCTTTTTTTTGAATCTCCCTGTTATATCTTTATTTTCGTTGGACGGTCCTAATTTGGGGTTGAAGTCTTTAACAACGAATTTATTGGAGGATTTCTCGTTGTGGATTATTATTTCCAACTGGTTATAAAACGCGTGCAGTTCTCTCATTGATCAACAGTGAGAGTTGATGAGCAGCAATTTATGATACCGACTTTCTGTTGATGCGCTTGTTGGAGGCGAAGAATGGCTAGCCGCTGTGAAAGGATTTCGTATGAGGTGATTATCTAATCAGATACGAAATAGATGATTGCACGGCGAAGCCAACTCTTCTGACACTTAACAACTGAAATTTCCCTACACGAATGACAAGGGTTCCGTCATCTAGTTAGTGTATGTCAATCCTCCTGGTTTTCGTTGCTATCACAAGAAATTTGAAGCCCTTAGCAGCATCAAGAAAAGCAAAGGTGAGTAACTGGAAGAGATTCTCCTGGCGTTATTGGTGCACAGAAAGAAGCAGGGTCCATGATGTATCCTGAGCGTGCTTGTTTTGTCCGGTTTTGATGAAGTCTTGTGCAACCTGAGATTTGATCACCTCTTGAGGCCCGAAGTCGAGAGCTCCAAGTATGTGCGATATTACGAGTGCAGATTACATGAGTTAGCTAATGTGGTTCACCGGAGCCCCGAGGCCAACTTAGCCGAAGCGTTCCTCATCACTACCCCAGGCAGTCGCCACACTTGTGGATCGGGTGGAGATTTGCCACCATAGGACTAGTTCTATATCATGACGGAGGTGATTCCTGGTGCTCTTAACAATGTTTCCAAATGAAAACGCTGGATTTCTCAGCCAGAAAGGCCCTGAAAGGTGAATAAAAGCGACAGCTCGCGTTCCGATACCTAGAAGCATCACAGCTACAATGAAGTGGTAAACGATCGCTAGATATCAGAATTCCAAAAAGATCTACTGTCACTCTAAAACATTTCCGAAGAAAACAAATTCCTGAAAAGCGGGTTAACCTACCCACAAAACCTTTGACCTTCACTGATGACGGAGGCAAGCGAGCCAGCTGTGTGAAATGATTGGTCGTCTTCTCTGTGATTGATGACAGGTCATACAAAAAGTTAAGGTAAAGATATGGCTTTAAGAAATGAATAGATCGATCAGCAAGTATACTTGACGTGGGGGTGTCACATCTGGAGTCGACGGCGGCTCACTGATCATTTCTTAGCCATAGCTATATCTCACTCAACTCAGCGATACCATTTATTTTATGGAGGTGTTTATTGAACGACTTCGCATTTCTTATGAGTTAATAAAAATATGGCAAAATTGCATAAAATTTTCTAAAAGCCGCACTATTTTTGTAATAAAGCTTCCAGGAGCAATTCCATAGACCGACTTTCTACTAAGCTCTGCATTGGTCAGTCAGTCAAAGCCTTCACTACATTATTTACCAGACATAAGAAGGGTAACGAAATTGTGTATGAGACTTAGTTTAAGCAGTGGAGACTCACCAGAACATTTCAAATGTTGTTAAACACATTGTGTGGGTCCGTCAAACTCTCAGTAATGAAATGATGATTAAATTTGTTCGCTTCAAAAGATATCAGCTGTTTCAAATTTGCTAACCGAGCTAAATTTCTATTAACTCTTTTTTTATTGAACCTTCACAATTATCCAGAACAGTTTATAAAGGAACACGACGAATTTCTTCACTGATGATGCATACGATACAGAACAAATAATCTTTGGGATCATTATTTTTTATTGAATACGTCGGCGTTCACTGCGGCCAGTGTCTGATAGTTCGGATCATAGGTGCCTGAAATGGTTTTCGAAGATCTCTAGTCAATCCCTAAGATGCGATGCCCTAAGTGATGTACGCAAAGGAGCTAACATATGTTTATGTCAAGGCGATAACGCCAACTTCTAACCGTTTTGTATCGTCTTTATGTTCTGTCACATCATTAAAGCATCCACCTCGAGAGAAAAAGAATATGATAAAGGCATCTATGTCACTAATTTCATCATATAATTTTATGCAACCCGTCTTCACATCTATTACGCGGTTTCCAGCGCTCCTTGTGTTCGATTCGTTTCCTCGCAGCCGACATCCATGAAGGTTCTCAAAGTGGATTCAGCAGCTGCTTCAAGATTGTCGCCTTTTTTACGAATGCCTTTGAATGATGGTCGAGTTGATTCTCCCTGGAGTCCTGTGACATCCGTGTTATAGCGCTCTCATTTGGATTGCGGGGAGTTGAATGCTTCAAGAAAAGTCTGGTTCCAATTTCTGAGCTCGGGAAGGCTGATCAGCTTGGCCTAGAGAATTATCTACTAAATATCCCATGAAATAACAGCCAATTTCAAGCACAACAAAGCAACGCGTACGTTTTTTTCGACAGAATTGCTCAACATTTTTGTGTATGGCAAGCTCAAAAAGCAATCATACCGTGGTCATCAATATATCAGAATTTTTAAGCTCAGAGAAAGCCATAGTTCAACATGATAATTACTCTCGCACTTCAAACAACGAATGTGAAAATTTTAAACGAGGTCTGTAGTGGACGAGCTGTTTTAAGAATTGCTTCCGGCTTTTAAAAAAGCCCAGTACACACAATAACATTGTAGGAATCGAAAAGAACTACGTTGTGGTATCACAACGCTCTTTTTATTTGTTGTTTACTATAATTTTCCACGGCAGGATGGGTATGATGCAAAATACAGCCGTAATGAGGCTGACATATTTTCAAAACTCCTCAGGTAACTGCGGCGGAGATTGAACCTCACTATTAACCTTTCAGGGGCTAACGCGTTCGCCACCACGCCATGCGGGTCCGTCGTTTCTCCTGTCTCTCAGCTAGTTTATCGTTGCGGTACATCAATAATGTCGTAGCGGTGCTGCACTTGGGAGGACACCGTCGTAATGGTGAACGACAACGACACCATTGACTGTAAATTACCTTTTAAGGACCACTCTTTTCTTGTATTCACCTAGCTGTCTTCCTCTCACAGTTTCTTCTACTTTCGTCACTTTCTGTTTTGCTTAGAAGAATTTTCCACTTTAGAAACTCAATGATAAGGTGACAGGTAGATTTGTCTACGTCGTACTACTACCCCAGTCTAGATTTGATCCCTCTCAATGTCTTCAAAAGCAGCAGCATGTTAAGTCTCATGCAAACTGAGCGTAATGTCTCGAATGAGGGAGGAAACCCATGTGCGTACATTAAGTCCACAAACGGAGAACCGGTCTTCGTTTACTCTTTTCAGGTTTATGATCAACATAAGCGAAATCCCTTTTTTGGGAACATGGGAACTTTTTAGCGCTATAACAGATATAAGAGCTAGCCTTTTCGGTAAGTGAGTCTGAAACACCTTACTTATGTAAATGGTCATTGGCGTATATTACAATTTCTAATTATTTACGCCAGATTTCAATTAGCGAATGCATAGCGCAGTGTTAGTGATGATGTTCAAAAAGAGCAAGACTTTGGTTAGACGTCGTTCTGGACCCACCAAACCTCCTATTCCGCCCAGTCTGGAGTTTGGTAACATGCTTGTCTGGCTTAAGCGAACTCCCAATGACAAATATGGGAGCCCCAAAGCACAGCTATGCGAAGCTTCGGTGAAAAACCGACTCAATCGGCATATAACTCGCCCGAAGCATTCAATTCGTAACGAAGACAAAAATCCTCCAGTTGCAACCGAATCCGAGTGCAAAAAAGTTGGAACACTTTCCTGGTTGGTAAGATAGTAGGAAAAGAATAGGATGCAAGGTGTGTCGAGATCCACGGTATGTGATTTTAGGGCACTTAGAAAAATAAACCGCTGACTTATTTAATATTAGTTTATATTAGGAAGCTTGCATAAGGTCGGTATAAAATATTTGTTCTGCTAACGTTTCGGCATCTTCGTATTCTTCAAAGGCAGCTTAATCCTAGTCGATGGTCCACAGGTGGTCGTCCTAGCATTCTGGGTGTTCGTTGTCGCACCACGCTGATAAAGTACCGACTGTGGCAGGATGCATTGCTGTCAAAGAAGTAGATCATATTCAATGTCGGCAATACATCAACAACCAGTCTGTGTAGAAGGGCACTGCGAAGTGAGACTCTTCATTCCAGCGGCACTCCAAATTAGTGGATTCGATTCATCGCGAGTGCGTGCGAGTGCGTAAACCCACATCGTGAGAACGACCACCTAACAACTTGTGGATCATCTACTAGGATTAACGCAGCTTTGAAAAAAACGAAGATGTCAGAACGTCGGCTCAATAAATATTTTCGTACCAATTTTGTAGCAGTTCAGCAATACAGAAAAATATTGACAAATCTTGAGGTTTAATGAATATCGGTTTCTAAGATACCGTTTCTTCCTTTTTAAAGTAGGTTGGGTTGATTAAGACTTGACTTTCACCATTCATGAGCTTTCACTAAGCCTCATAGTGTCTGCTCTGTTATTTCATGTTATAGCGCGTACGGAGATTAAAGAGATGTGCGGTAGAACAGACTTGCATTTAACTAGGCCTATGGATTTGAATTGTCCAATTTTATTCGGTTTAGGGAGACTCTGATACGGCATGGTTCACCACTGCAGCTCGACTTCGAGAAGTGATTAGAGGATGATTTGCACCATACGCCTAGGTTGATAACAAGACAGAGGTGGATCTTGGGTAATGGTTTATTCTTAGCTGGGCTTTCTGACGAAAATGCTGGACCCCTTCTCATATTGGAAGGCCTTGCCGTTGGAATGGGTCCATCTGTTGTACATCACAGCTCGACACCCAGGAATACCTCCCAGCCGCAATGAGGCGGTAAACCATTGGGAGGAACAACGAGATAAGCTGTGGATTTTTCTGTTAGAACATAAATCATCCCTTCTTCCAATTCTTCACTACAGATAGGCCAATGCCGAACGATCCCAAGCAGACGAAATTTTTTGTTTACTTGCTAATTAATGAATGTTGTGAGGTTATCAAATAACAAATTATAATTTCATGAGGATGAAATCACGCAGCTGTACTGTTGCCATTACTGCGATAATAATTGGAAGTTGTCGATTTTCACCGTTAGTTAGCATCAGTTGCTGTAAACTAGAAAAATTGTTTTACACTAATTCTGAGAAGAAAACCATAAAAAGTCTTAAAGCAGAACTCGTTCTTACCTGAAAATTTCTTTTATGATAAACTATACCTGCCATTCCCCTTACTGCCGGTGCAATCGGTGCATGTGGAGGTGGAGGATTCCTTTTGTCAGCAAAGACATCGCCTTTCACCCCAGCCAAAGTCTGATAATTTGGATCATATGTTCCTAAACAAGCAATGAGCATTCGTAAAAAAAGAACAGAGATGCATTCGAGATGATATAGGCAGACCTGCCATTCCTCCCGTAGTCGGAGCTTTCACCGCAGGCGGCGGTGAATTGCCACCTAAAAACATGAGTACTAATGTATTCATAGTGTAGAAGAGCATATAGATAAAATTAAGTTTGTTAATCTACCTTGAGAACCAGGTGGTCGATCTTTTTTCTAAAACTATAAAGTCATAGACGAGTGATATAGTGAAGTATATTCATCAACGTACCTTATCTGCACAAAGAACTATAAAGAATATGGTGAAGACAAAGCAAGGTGCAGAACTGACGACGTACAGATTCCAACCTTCAACTACCATCTTTGCGTTTAAGACTAAAAATGATTTAGAACAAGCGATAAAGCTGTTGTGTTTAAGTTATTACTTGTTCTAGATGATAGATGAGGTCGATAACTCAAGGTTCATGCATTATTTACATTTCACGATTCCAGTGCGGCTTCTACTGAAATATAGCCATACCAACGCTCCTTGTTCTAATGAGATGCCTTTCCAATAACAATATTCGAAGGTTAAAAATTTGCTAGTTGTAGCAGCTCCCTGCATGACAATGAGGCGAGTGTCCAGAGGGCACAAATTGAGTCCGTTTTCAAGACGAACTCTGTACGAAAAGTATGAAAGAAAAAGAAGATAGAAGAAGAATGACAGAAAGTGCCGCATTTGGGCCACTCCAGAAAGGTACCGACCAGCTGAGGGACCCAATAATTTGCGTTCACTTCTTGGACTGCACAGTTCTGCCTTGTTATGCAGCAGAAACATGGGCTGATACTTAAACCATGTCACGAAGTCTGTGCTTCCCCAATAGAGGGCTTGAACGATGTCTTCTGTGATTTAAGCGGCACTCACAACGTCTAGCCGGGGTGCGCACCTCAGTTCTAAGAAACTTATCCCATGTTCGGAATCCACGAGAATATACATCGATAGCAGTGGAGTGGATTCCAAGAGAATGAAATCGTCCTGTTGGAAGACTAACCAAACGATGAGTGGTCGTGTTCGTAGCTAGCGTCAAACATCTGCATTCTCAGACGGAAGCGATTTTAGGACTACGAAGTATTCCTCGCTGACGTCACAGTTTTTGAGGCAGACCGCCGCAATAGACCATGACTGAGCGAAATAGAAACGAATGTGTATTATGCTGGGGTCGACACCACCTGCAAAGACGGATCATCCTAGCATTCGAGTATAGAAACGTCCAAGTATAGACCAGAGAACAGTCTCTATAGCTTGCATAATGCTGGGATATTTGCAAAAGTTCGGACCTAGCCAGATAGAACTAGCTGAGAAACAGGCGAAACGAAGGACCCGCATGATGTGGTGTTGAACGCGTTACTCCCTAGAAAGGACAATAGCGCGTTCCTTGCCCAACGCAGACAACTGCGGTTCAGAGTTTTGCGAATATCTCAGCATTATATAAGTTATATTTTGCAGCATACCCTGCCATTAAAAGGAATAGGCAGTAAATAAAAAGGTTAAGATTGCGATACTAATCATTTTGTGAAGCTTTTATTTACTGCCTATTACAACTTTTTACGGTAAGGTATTACTCCTCCCAACGGTTTACCTCCTCATCGTGGCTGGGAAGAGTTCCTGGGTATCGGACTGCGATATACCTCGGGGCGATTCGTCTCCCCGGCAGAGTCTCCCAAGCTGAGAAGGAGTCCGACGTTTCTATTAGGAAGGCTAGCTGAGCGTAAACCGATACTACGATCCGCCACCGTCCTGGTATCAAAGTCGTATGTAGGCAAATCTTCCTCTGATGCACTAGAGCTGCAACGGCCTATCGTAGTGACTACGTGGGGCAGACTTTGGTCAGACTGTCCTCGGGATTCGAAGAAGCCACAATGGCTTAGCCAGGAAATCCCCGAAAATTGGTGATTATGCTAGGGCCAGCACAACCAATGAGGACGGGCCGTTCAAGTATTAAGTATCAAGTATTATTACTATTACCATTGCTATTTTCATTATTATTATTATTATTACCAATATTACTAATATTATCATTATTATTATAGGAAGCAGGTAGCATAGTGGTGGTGATATCCGTCATCGCGAGCATAGTACCAGTTCGATTTCGCTTTTGGCCAACCGTCTCTAATCCCTCCGGGGTCGGAAAATTGGCACTGGACTTGTTTGGGAAAAAAATAACTCCTTCCAATCCAATTGGGAACGCTCCAGCCTGGCTAACTCAGGACTCCAGTGAGAATAGCTCTACTAGCATTTTACGACATTCAAGATGAAATGAAAATCCTCAAGTAGCAGCCGAAGCCACACGTAGAAGTTGGAAGATGCTAGCGGATAATGGATGCGAGGAAACAAACCAAATGTGGGAAATGCTGGGATATGCAGAGTAGACGTGAAGATGTGTCATATAAAATAAAAAATGTTATTATTATCGTTATTGATATTTTTTGCTTTGTCTTATTAAACCTGAACAAGAAACGACCTCGCAGTTGTACTGAGAAGCGAGCAGATTTAGCGAATGAAACAGTAGATATAAGGAAGACGAAAGGTGGTTGAGAGTCGCCTCCAACAAACACGATCTCCATTTACCCTCGAAAACATCGGGAACGCACCAGTGACAGGCTCAAAAGCTTTATGCTTATTTTAGTTAGCGAAGCAATGAAAATTAAAAGCGTAATCTCCTTCATTCCGCAAAACCTTCGATATAGAGAATGCGAATAGAGCTCTAAAATTTTTGGGCCTTCTTATCCTCTTTAATTGCATAGGGAATAAGGTGATGACTTGCGCTTATAAAGCATGCACAACATATCTGAATCTTCAGTTTAGAACTAGGATCTTCCGCAATACAATCTAAGAGAATACTGTTCGATGTCATGGAGACGAGACGCTAAAACACCGTCCACTTAACGTCGTCTACGATAACAGAGAACTGCTCCTCGACAATGGCCATGGGTAAAAAAGTCGATTGAGCTGGTAGTTTAGCCAATGCAAGAGTTTGCCATTACCATTTCTTTTAACTACTAAAGAGTTTAAAAACTTTGAAACTATTCCTGCAAAGAAGGCATGATTTCTGCCAGATCTTATGGCATAAACCTTAAGACTACCTCCAATAGAACACACAGAGAATTTTACAACTCATGGCTTGGAATAGAGCAAGTACGCTGGGAGGTCAGCTGAGTCCATTACGATGAATAGCACCATTCATGGGAGCATCGCTTCATTTGCGAAAGGTTCCTTTTTTAAGAAAAGGAATAAAAGTCGCAAAATTCTAGAAGCAAAATCATCGTGAATGATATGACATCGATGTATTAAGACGATTAGCTGATCTTTGGAAAGATATCGCTCGATAATGAATACGACCTGAACATGTAACACCTTCATGGTAGTACGAAGAAGCCGAAATTTCAAAAGTCAACCAACAAACACCTATCTCTAAAAGCACTTTTGAGATCAAAGAATAACATACGCAACAAAAGTGGCTAGAGCTACAGAAGTTTAGGGTTGCCACAGGGTTTACCAAAACCTTGTCAACTAAAGCACTATGATGATCGCTCTTCGGCATGCAGAGAGAAACGCATGGCATAGATTATACCATCCGTAACTTCTACTCCAATATCTTCGACCGCCATGTCTGGGTTCTATTTTAGGGCGTATTTATAAGAGCACGTGTGGGGCACTGGTTAGAGGCGCCAATGTGACACACGTGGAATCGTTATCCGCGCCCATGGTCCGCCAAGCCCTCCATCCCTCCGGGGTCTGCAAATTAGTACCAGACTTGTATGGAAGGATAGCAGCACTGGCTCAATACATCGGTGAGCCACCGCGAGTCATTCATTCTAAAGGCCGGATATGCATTCAATCGCCTACAACCAACACTTAGTGAAGTCGAATGCATGGCGCATCCCTCAAGGATGGATCAACACCGAAAGCTTTTATCCTTTACTGATATTCTGTGTAAAGGCTCACATTTTCAAGATCAGACATAATCTCGCCTACATTGTTCCACACTTGCTGAAAAGAAGATGAAACTCGAATATCTGCAGAACACAAGCGACTATACGTGATGTTTGACATAGGAAAACTAGAGTTTTCGAACATCATCAGATAATCTTGTTCAATAGGCTAAAACTGGTACATGAACGCGGAATCACACTGATAATCCACCAATAGACTGTAGCCCAAGTTTCTAGAGTTTTGATGGAGAATAAGTGAAAATTTGTTCTCAAAGCGACAGAAGCGACTAAGCAGAAAGAACATGCAGCAGAACGGCCAACACAGCGCTTGCCGGGGCTACGCGTACAACAATTCGGTTTTTCCTCCAGAAGACGGATCGCCACCACGCCTAGAAACAAGGCATAGTAACCGGCTTTCATAGCATGATATAGAAACACCTGCAATTGATGCTCCGCGCACTGATTCGCTTCTTCGTATAACACCTACGAGGTTGTGAGTGTAGCACTGATTCAAAAACTAGTAGGAGAGCTCTACTGCACAAGATGAAAGCCATGCAGAACATTCTAAGGAATTGTAAGAGACACTGATCAACAGATATCTTTTGACATGAGTAGGCCCGAAAATATGTTAAACTCAGCACGTTTCTCTGAATCTCTTCAAGCGCACAGCTTATGAAAACACCGCAAAAAAAGAACAGAACAACTATGAAAGCTGAAGATGCAGGTTTATTAAAATTCGTCAATTTGAAGAAAGTGTTTGACTTGTAAAGCGAGAAGTTGCCGTCGACAGCTCAAACGAACAATGGCGTCCCAGTCACTCTGTGGTGCATTTTCACAACCTTCATGCATAAGATGAAAGCCATGCAGAACATTTTAAGGAATCGAGGATTTAAGGAGTTTTAACAAGAATCAAATTATTTTACGTACAATTTATACAGCAAAGCATAGTCTTCATCTTATTGACGCTGTCTTAACGAAATTATAAAGGGTAAAAAGAACGAAGCTCTAGGCGTTGATCAATCTTTGAGGGATGCGCCATGCATTCGACTTCACAAAGCATCGTTGGAGGTGATTGAATGCAAATCTGGCCTTTACAATGACTCACGGTGATCTACTGATGTATCGAGCCAGTGCTGCTATCCTCGTCTGGTGCCAATTTGCCGACTCTAGAGGGATGGAAGGTTTGGTGGGCTAGTGACCCCGGGATCGATTCCGAGCAGTATAGTGGTTACTAACCGAAATTATACTACGCGTAAATTCATCACGCATTTTCAGCTCCTCCATAATGACAAGTATTAGTCATTGGCTGGCAATGACTGTGCGTAGATGAATAGGATATCACGCTAAATTCGGATTCTAGAAGGGAAACCAACTTTCCAGCCTTGCTGA